TGAAATATGAAAAATGCCAAATAAGTCGAAAAAGCCAGAATCGGGCTAAAATTTGACGCGCATGCGCGTCACACCATTTCGCCAACGTCTTGGAATCTGCTTACCTTCCCTCCGTTGTCGACACAATTTTTCATGAATTCGTGCACTGTAGGGAAATCCTGCACAATATCTGTCCATGGTAGGTCCAGCACATCCAAACGGAGATAAACGAATTTGGTAGGGAAGTGATTTGGAACGCCTGTGGCCACATTCGCTATGTGGGTGATTCCTTCGACGTGAGTATCGGCAGATCGTTGGCAACATCTTGACTTCCTGAAACAATTGGTGAACTCTTCGCTGAAAAGTAAGCGGAAAATCGCCTTTAAAAAAAGTGCAACAATCTAAAAACAAGCATGGTTGGATTGGTGGAATCGCGCGCTCAGTTGCCATGGATCCAAGAGCCTTCAGGCTTATTTGCCTACCGCATTGACTGCCCAAGAAAGGACATATCTGGTAAGAAGGTAAGCATGGAGAACAATTATCCTTAAAATGTCAGTACACCCTGTTTCCCGTAGATGGCCTGTCGTAATTGCAGATTCGGTGGGACGCGTGGCGATGCTCGAAAAAATCGATATTAATGTGCGCTTCTTGACACACTTGATGTTATCTGATGCGACGTGTGTTACTCGTTCCGCGATTTCGTTGGCGGGAAACAAATATGCGCGTGTGAAAATCGATAAATTTACTAGGCCAGGAAATTGAGAAATCGGTCTTTGGGCTTCACTCAAATACATCCTCATCTGCCTGTTGTCTTCAGGAACTATCTCTTACGTAGCAAAACGCTGGATCCAAAAACTGTCAAGAGCAGGACAGTTATTTATTTAATCATCTGGTTCGACCTTGATCAAAGACAGTGATCACAACGGCTGGAGGGCGTTGCGGTCTTGATGACGTCATTGGACGTTATTGGTCGAAGGGCGTCAAGAGGCAGTCCAGCTACACCCCACCGCGCTTATGATTGGAGTTCCAGTCCTCCAATGACGTTCTATGAGGTTATCAAAATATCACCACCCTCAAGCCATGGTGATCACTGCCTTTAAGTTCCTAGTGAACATAGCGTATGAGAAACAACACGCTGATGCCCTTTTCTAGCGTTCATGCGCCAGCCCACCCAATTTATTCGAACACCTTCGCAGAATTCTGAGATACTGGTACAAAGGAGGAATCCGGTTTTTTACGACGAGAGATTATCGCCAAGCATCATTTAGCGAAACCAAGTACATTGCCATGACATACAAGAGCGAATACAAATACAAGCAGGAAAGTTCATACACATGCATTCGCTGTTATTTTACTATTTAGCAAAACTTTATTTGAAATGTTGATAAGAAACATACCAAGATAAACGCCTGGGCAGATGTTTGCGAGCTGTAAATCTGGCTCCAAGTCTATATACAAACCCATTCTAGCAGCATGTTCTACTTTTTTCCGTCTTCTGTTGGAGATACCTGAAAACAACTTATTTCAAGAAAGCAGCTGGAGTCTTCAACTTCTCCATATCCCTTCAGTAGAACGAACGCCATTTGTTGAGCACGATGGCCCTGAAAGGGCCTATTTTGTGCTCCTTGGGTTTGCCGCGGCCTGCTCAAGCTGTGCAGCCATCCGATGGGGCCTAGTTGTAAAGGGCGCCGAACGCCGTTCTCTGTTATAAGCTCAAGTATGCAGTCGCAGGCAGGATCAGCTGTCGCCTTCGCACGTTTTCAAAGTTTTACGACCTCATCCATCAGAGGAGGGGTCTCAATACTATTCTGTGGTATTGGATTCCGAGGCTTGTCGACAGATCGCAACCAGGGTGAAAAATCCGTGTTCAAGAAATGCGCATCTTCACGACCCCCCCCCCTAAGATCTCGATACGCTCCCCTTTTACCCTCCGCATCCGGTTTTATAGCAAAAATGTTAGCTATAGATACATGAGGAGGCGGCGCCGCCGTGGTGGTGTTGTTCTTTGTGTTTACGACTCACCTCACCACACTTCGGGGCCGATCTCGGAAGCGGTAGGGGGACTGGGAGCATAAGTGTCTAATGCAGCAGCAGATCTGCCAATTTCCCATATTTCACGCTTCCTTTCAAGTTCTGCCCAAATTTTGGTAAGTGGTCGGAAGCGAGTCCCTTCCGCAAGCCGACCCCTTCAATCTTCACTTCTACGGCCCCTTCCGCACTTTTCCAGGATAAGAAGACAATTCTAAACCCAAAATGACCCCGCCCCTCCCACCCTCCTGAAATCGCAAGCACGACTCCGTTTGAATAATGTGAACGGCCGCTTGACCTTGGCCGCACTGCAAACAGAGTACTACCTTTGACTGCAAGATCCCCTTCATCTTCTGCTGAATCACGTACAAATTCGCCAGATTCGTTCCTGTGCTCTGTGACCTCTTCGCCATCCTCAAGCAGCACTCTGTAAAATCAAACTTTTGCACAAAAAAAATCTTAGATCAATATGGAGTTCTAATAAGCCATAGTTGTATGAGCTATATCTCAAAAAGATTACTGTAGTCGCTGGGAAATCGGTTTTATTAAAAAAAAAGATTCACTTTTGGTCAGAATTATCCTTTTTGACCCATTCAAAAGCCTTAAAGGCAGTGGTCATGATGGATTGAAGAGAGTCGCTCTTGGCGGAAGTCATTGAAGGTCGTTTTGTGGAAGAGTGCTAAGAGTGGCGGTCCCACCACATCCCGCTCCTCCAACGCACTGAGGAGTCCAATCCACCTTCCACACGTAATGACGTCATCAAAACCGCACCGCGCCTCAGCCATCGTGGTCGCTGCCTTTCATGGTTCAGTGCTTTAGAATTGAGCTATAGTTAGACCGAATGATTGAATGAGAGAAGCGCAATTTTTGAAGTGTTAATGAGCACGGAAATAGAAATTTTGATCGATGGGCCTGTTTTACAAAGTTCACTCGGGAGATCTCTTGGAGCAATTTCAATGCATACAATTATCTAATGAGCCCGCAGAAACACAAATCTGGTGATTTTTGACAAGTTTTCATTTTGCGAAAAGCGGAAGGCATGAGTAGCGCGACCGCGATTCTCCTACGAATCGTGCGAAGGCAGACAGCGCCTCTACTTCTGCGCTACCTCGCCTCGAACAAGCCAAATGTAAAATCTGTGAAGTAGAACAAGAAAAAATGGGATCTGTGATTGTACATGGACGAGCTTGCTAGCAGCTTCAAATTTTAGCTGTCACTGCACTGATGTGTGCTCTCCTTTCCTTTCTTATTGGCTAATGCTGTACGAATTTACCCTTCCTTCCAAAAAACGAGATGTGCGTCAGGCACCATACACCACAATTGACGACAGCCTCAATCTGGTTAGTATTTGGTTCACAGTGATAGCTGACGTTTTGGTAAATGATAGTTGTAATTAGTGACAACTGATAGAATGCAACAGGCTAATCATTTCATTGGCAGAAAACATTTACATTTTGTGGAAGCCGCCGTCACTTGTGGTGTGTGGTCTGCACCCGACGCTCTTCTTGTTTTTTGAAAGGGAGTATTGGGTGCTAACATATTATAGCTTAGAGGGTGGGGGTTTCCCCGCGCCGGGAGACGGTCAAGAGTCCCCCGCCACCGCCGCGCCAAAACTAGGTCACCGCGCGCGACGTCGCATTTGTTTCAGCTTACGATTAGTCCTAGCAACTTGATGTATTTCAAGCTGGATATGCTAGATAGCCGCCGCGTGCGGTGACCTACTTTCGCTTGCGCAGCGACCTCAGGGGGACTCTTGTCTTGCATCCCCCGCGCCACGGGGCTTGTCTGCACTCTTCTCTGCAGAACGGCAGAAATCGGGGGTTAACGGGGGACGTAAACACTCCGAGTGGAACATCGGACATCCATTAAAAAGCTTGGGAATGGGTGTTTACACTATCCCGAGGCGCAGACATAGCCACTCGCCTTCATGCGGCGCTGCATTAGTCGCGTCGCTCGACCTAGCACGATCGTAACGATCGCACAGCGTTTGATACGTATTGATCGTCAACTAGTCAGGCAATTCCGACAATCGATACGCATCTAATCCTGTGCGACAGTTGCGAACGTTGCTGTCGGACGACCGACTATGCATGCGCCCTATGGCGGCGGATGGTTCCCCCAACTCTGTTGCCGCCCGAATCATTGGTCTGCACGAAATATTCGAGCGTTATGAGATCAAGGAACAACTTCCAACTGGACCGATGTGAATGCGACGCCGGCGAAAGCAAAAGTGACACATGCGAAAACAGACGAGTTTCCAAGGAGCGGTTGCAGCGGAATCAGCGGAATCTTCGGTATAATGTACAGTAACTGAACTGAAAGCTCCGGGATTTCCACAACAATGATCCAGATGTTTAGCTATCGATGCAATGAAACGACGAGAAAAAATATTCAATTTAATTTCTGTGGAAAAAAGTACCCACACAGTAGTCGTTGGCTTGAGCTTCTCCTTGGCAAGCTTCAGCTGATCTTGAAGTGACATGATGCCCGAAAATATTATCTTCACATAAGGACACGACTAGCTAGGAGCGGATTTCCAGAAAAGCAGCAACAAATTGATTAACTCCAGAAAATCCTTCCATGCGAGTTAATGTGCTCCACGGCGCCAAGCGCTGTGTGAACCGCACCGCTTGCGCTGCGCGACACGGCCGAGCGACGCCGCTGCGCCGATGATTCGCGCCGCCATCTTGGATTTTGCGTTTTATTTTTGATTGGTGTCCGTGTTTGGTAAATTCTTTTCGTATACTTCGTATTGGTGTATTTAACACAGGTTTTGATTACGTGTTAGGAGTTGCCTTAATTGAGCACTTCCGTTTACGATGTTCTTCGTTTTCAGTCCTCAGTTTTAGGTAAAAGTTTCTTGAGATTTGGTGGAACTATCGTTAGTGCAGCTGTTTTGAATTAAACAAACTGATAAACCGATCTGTTCCATCAAAGGGGTAGGGCGTTGCGGTGTAGAGTGCCTAACATGTTTAAAACCTCAGCAAACATTTTCTATTACTATTAAACGATCAGGACTACTTCGTATAGCATACATTTCCGGAAGTGCGCGAACCTCTTCGTTTTCCCCGGAATTCCTCCCTTCTGAATCTAGTTCTCAAAAATCATCATCCCCAGCCTTACAGTTGCTTCTTCGCATCATCCAGTACAAAAGTTGGCGTTAGTGTCTGCGAGGAAAGCATCATTTGTACAGCCCATATGTCCACACTTCCTCTAGCCCACCCCCCTCCTTTTAACACCTGAGCCTTAAGGGAGGCAGAAGGGGGAGGTAGGGGTGGGCGTAAGCATGTTTACATTTTTCGCTACGAAGAGTTCTCTCTCAGGCTCAGACCGCGCAACGTTGCCTTCTCCTCTAACTACACCATCACCCAAAAATATAATACATTCAGCATTAAAAAAAAAACAAATAAATAAGTAGTGTAGCGGTGAAGCCGCCAGCGAATTGTGACTTTAGAGAGCTCTCTTGCCGCTTTGAGTTAGAGCACACACTGACAGCGCATTGCCCCACTTATTGGAATTGAACCCGAGATTTCATTTGTGAGTCGTGAGATGATAGGAGTGTGAGTGAGAAAGGAGTCTAATTTGGTGAGTTTGTGGCAAAACATTCAGAGTAACCGTTTGTGAATTGATTTAAAACATCTCCTTAGATTGCCAACGCTCTTTGTAGCCTTCTGAAATAAAGTCCCTGGATCGTTTTGCTAATATCGAGTGGTTGATCCTCTGAAAAGCAAAAGTTAAGGAAACACTTTTTTTTGGATTGTTACAACGTGTTTTCTTCCGGAAGCTGCGTCGTCATATGCAGCAGCTCGGTGCTGACGAATGTTGACCATTCGTTGAAAATTGTGGCTTTCTTTGACAAAAATGAGCATGTCCGTGGATCGGGACTTTCCGGTAAGGCGGCTGTCATAACTTGCGACCGTTTTGCAGTTCGAGTAAATAAGCTATCGATCATTCATTCTATGTGTGATCGCCAGCCACTATGATCAATTACGCCATTCTACCTCTGCGAAAAGAATGCATTAATCGTGAAAATATGACATCGCGCACACTGAGGATGAGCTGGGGGGGGGCAGAAAAAGTTTGCCCACATTCGTCTTCTTTTCCCATTCTTAGGCAAAAATCGTCGTGCAGTGGCATACAATTGATCCTCCATAACATCTCTTAGGATGTCAGAGTCCGCGATCCTTTGCGCGATTTTCGCGATTTGCGCGACGGGTCACGGAAATCACAAGTGCCCCATCAATACTGCAAGGTGTTCTCCAATCCCGCCGTCACTTCTGCTTGATGGTTATGGTTTAATGGAGACTGCTCATGATTCCACTTGTTTCATATCCAGTGTTTCAATTGTTCAAATGGGGCACTTGCAATTTTTGTGATTGGTTTGGTTTGATTCCTGAAAAAAAAAGGAACGATTCAAGAGCATTTCAATGAACTAATAGACATTGAACATGAAACAAGTAGAACCACAAACATTCGTCTTCCAATCTTTACTGCCAAGCAGAATTCGCAGCAGGATTAAACAACACCTCGCAGTATTCATCGGGCACTTCCAACTCCTGTGATCCATCGCAGGTTTCGCGAAAATCGCGAAGAGCGGATCGCGGACTCTGACACCAGCCTTACCGTTCTTGGTTGTTGTGATTTCAAATGACTTCGGTATCTGTTCCAAAATACTCCACTCTCCACTCCTCACCGCCGCCACTAGCGATCGTGAGAACCTCTTGTTCTTCTAATTGATCCATGGTTTCCAGAATATCTAAAATTTATAGCTAAGGAAATTATGGGACAAATCGACCCCTTGCTTTGCAGGGTGTCATTCACGTTGACCCATCTGTAAAACTAGCCAGCACATGCGCTTGCTGGCTCCGCATTCTCTTTTGGAGCTTTTCTGGATCCACATTTTTTGAATGTCCGACTAGGATTTTCCGATGTACTAATTGCTGAAGCTGTTCGGCACAATATTCATGATGTGACAGTGAAGGTGTGATCCCTCCAAACAAGTTGGAAATATGTTCGGATTTCACATGTGTTGAACGGGCGCCCGCTCCAAGCACGATCCAACAACAACATGCTACTGATTTCTCAACGTTCCTTTCCTTAATTACGCACCATAACGTGGGTAGAGAGTTAGTAAGCACAAAGAACGGTACTGGTTCTAGCGATTCGGGAATTAGCAAAGAAAGCTATGGACTTACCCTGAGGAAAGGTTCTCCGAATAGTTTATGGAGCTCCAGAGGTGTTATGCTGGGGATTTTCTAACTCCTAATACCACAGTCAATGAGGAGTTTTACTGCCAACAGTTTGATCGCGTTGTACCCTAGCGAAAGAGAAGAATAATTGAACCCACTCTCTTTTGGTTATCCTCGACCGACATAATTAAGGAGAAAATTCAAGCAGTACTGAAAACATTCAAGTGGGCAGCTCGTCTTATCCATCAACAAATGGTCATCTGCTTTGCTCCTAGCGCACTTCCTCCTAGAGACACCTTTCCTTGAACAGCATGCTCGCCTAAATCAAGCTTCCGTTGGTCAAGGGTCAATATGTAGATTTCAGGAGAGCTCAGTGGCTGAGCTGATTTGTTAATAGTTATAAGAAGTTTGGAATAACTTTGGAAAGTATGTGCTTTTCATGGTTTTGTGGAATTATCAGTTTTACCTTCAGTCAAGATTTGCTTGGTAGACAATATCAAGTATTCTACTGACTGCAGATAAAAAAAATAGAATTTTGATGTTACAGGCACAAATCAAAATTTTTGGCTCGTCGTCCGTTTCGATTTTTCGTTTATTCAGCGCGAAAGTTTTTTTTTCGTCTGAAATGTTGATCATTTCAGAATCTGTCAACATTAGCGTCAATTCCGTAGATTGGTTTATTCCCTCGTAATGACGCCAAATCCAAATGAGGGGAAAGCTACGGCACACATAGGAGTCCGTTATGGAGAAAATCTTCGCATTACTGTAGCAGCCAACCAGGTTGGGGAAAGCTCATCTTTTTCATTGTCGTTCCACCTTGAAAGCTCAAGTTGACGGTTTTTTTTTCAAGGGTGGTCGCAAGTATATGGAAGATCGTGTTCATATAGAAACCATCAGAGATGATGATGGTTCTATCAGGTTCACATTCTTTGGGATCTTCGATGGACACGGTGGGCATGAAGCCAGTGAATACGTTAGGAGAAATTTGCTCAACAATATAGTGGTGAGTGTGCTGGAATGATCGGCATTGTTTATCTTTTTATCTGCGGTCTTTGCAGTGTTTCCAAAAAATAAAATATTGAGCAACGTTTTGATTTAAGAAAAATGAATTGTTCGATTCCGACGATGATGATGATATATTGGAAGCTATAAGGTTAGGCTTTCTAACTACGCATCATGGCATCTGGAAAGTAGTGTGTAAGTTTTTCTATGACTATCGTTGTAATCTTTTTATAATTAGTCATTTTATTCGTGTTTAATTTTCATCTTGGTTTTTAATGTGGAATCTTTTTCGACATGTGATGCAGGAGTTTTGCACTTCTCAAAGCTTTGCCCTCCTTTTTTGAACATTGAGTATACACGCGCTTTCCTGTGTACATCTGAGCTGATACTGTGAACCCCATGGTCAGAGAGCTTGTGATTTGCAATATGTAATCCTGTGCAGTTTCGATAGACGACCGACTATAAAGCGCTCTAAAGAGATACAAAAGCGCTTTATTTTTGAATATCATTAGAACCCTAGAGCTGCACATTTTGAGTATTGGGTATTATTGTATGTATTAGTAGTATTGACGATCTACCGACCTGCCTGTACATTTCACTTATTGCCGTTTGCTACTGTGAGCCATTTTTGAACTTTCTGTACTAAATTTTCGTTTATTTGTGTTAAGGGTATATTTTTAGCGGAATGGCCTCGTACAGCTTCTGGGTATCCGAGTACAGCGGGCACCACAGTGAGTATCGCTATACTTAGAAATGGCAAGCTCTATACCGGCCATGTCGGTGACTCTGCCATCATTTTATTGAGGAGAGCGTGTAAGTTGTAGCTCATGATATTGCCTTTTGTCACTTTTCATATTAGGTGAAGTCCTATTTAGTACTCAATTTTCAGATCGTAAGGACAATTCAGAAGATCTGGTTCCTCATAGACTAACCGTCGACCATAAACCGGAAAGTGAAGACGAACAAGCTAGGATTCGAGTCGCTGGCGGATCGGTACTTTCTTAGATTTTATGAGCTTTTCGTCGGAAACACTCCGACATCCGTTCCTATTTGCTGAGTTATAGGTAGCGCTGAAAAGTGGAGTTGCTCGTGTGGTTTGGACGAGGCCATTGAAACATCATATTGGCCCAGTTAGGCGAAGCACACCTACTGAAAGTATTCCATTCCTTGCTGTTGCCCGAAGTCTAGGTGAGTTGTTGAGCTTCAAAATATGACACGATTGATAAGATGCGCAAAGGAGTGACATCTTCATTACAGGAGATGTGTGGTCATACTGCGAGGATACCAAGGAGTTTGTAGTTTCTCCCGAACCTGATCTAGCTGTTCAGGAACTGACTGGTAGGATATCTTAGGAGTTTCTCATCGCTTTATCTTTGTTTCGATTTCTATTAGTTTGCTTGTCATTTTGTGTTTCATTTTATCAGATCGCACTCGCCTAGCGTAAGGTGTAAAAATTTCTGGCCATATTTTTTGGTAAGGAACATTTGAAAGTAGGATGAACCCGAACAGTAGACCTTCATCGGAAAATCCTCCCAGAATGCTGTTAGGATCGAGGCACTCTTAAGCACCTTCTCATTGTCATGTACTTTTGTTATTAAAGCATCAGCTTCTTTTACGATTTTCACAGCAGGAACCCTCAAAGTTACATGACCCTTGACGTAATATTGTGTTGACGCACTCTTCTGCTCAATATGTGTAGTTCTAATTAAATATGAAAACCCTTGTTGACTTTCAGCTATTATGTTTAGGAGATGACGTCTGTTTGGTTCTTGCTTCGGATGGTTTAACCAATGTACTTGGCCCAATCCAGGTTAGACGTTTTACTTTTGATTCCCTGTTTCTGATTTGCTCAACATTTTATTTATACTTCGTTGGATGTGTAGTAAATCAATAGTAAGGGTTACAGGTAGCTGCAGTTGTAGATGAAGAGGAATCTGTCACACAAATAGGAGTTGATCGGTGTGAAGATATGGTGGTGCGTTTTTTCTTCTCCCTCTCATTGTACTCATTAGTTCGGATCAATTTCGTTTCAGTATCGGAGCAAGCATACAAATCTTGCCAGAGTGCTTGTAGCGAACGCCTTTCGTAATTGGCGCCATCTGAGAGCGGATAATGTTACAGCTATAGCGGTATGCTTCAAGTTTTTTTCACTATTCCAACTTTGGCGATTTCTTTCTCAATCATGTATCTGTTGACTGAAATATTACTTTTCTTTCAGGTTATGCTTGATTCGCCTTATGCAGACTTACCGGTGGATCATGCTTGTGTGGAAGAATACATAGGAATTAATGAGTCAATTGATAAGCTGTTCATAGACGATCCGGAATGCATGGTTCGGATCTCACCAACATCCACACTAAAGCTGTTGACGTATCGCACTCCCATTCTTTATAGAGGAGCCAGGGATCCAAACTTTTCGAGTTAGTAGCAATGTTTTTTCCCCGTCTGAGCTGATTATAGCAATCGTCTTTTTTTTCAGTCGTGGATTACCATGGTCCCGGATTCATTACTCATACCGAAGAGCGTCTTATTGAAGAGCATTATCGCTCAACTTATATGGACGCTGAGCATGCCGCTGGGCTTGCCAATTCGATGGGATTTGGATGTGGAACTTTGAACCCACCCTTAGGTGCCACATTAGTATATCCTGACGTTTCGGATAGCGCTTTGGACAGTGCCAACTGCGATGTGAGTTATTTCGGCTGAAATGTGTGTACTATTATTTTAAATTTTTCACTTCTAGGTACCTGATGACGTCATCAAGATCGTAAGGACGGCTACTCCTGAGATTGTTGAAAGCCATGAAGAGTCAGTGATAATCTGTACTGAAGTGAGTCGCTTGCTTGGTTACAATAATCGCGAGCTTGTGTTTTTATCCAAATTTTCGACTTTTTTCCTGAAGGTGAAGACACCTTCAAAGCAGCTCCTTTCTGATGAGGATGGAACAGACGAAGAAGAAGAGGTAGTAGTGTCCCCAGCGGTGAGCGGAACAAACAAGGTATGTGGTTCTTTCGAGTATGGTGTATTTGTAGTTTCGGATACGAGTACTCACAGTGAGACTTCTCGATTTTCAGCGTCCAGCCAAATCTTCGAATCAGAAGGAGGAGCGGGTTCCTCTTCCTGAGCGACGCTTGACTAGATCGGCGTCACGAGTTCCTGCAGAGGTGGAATTTTTGTAGTCTCCGCTTGGGAATTCCTCTTTTTCTATAATGTTATCAATTCTCTAGGGCCGTGCAACACCACGATCGGCTAACATTGCTATGCGAAGGTCATCAGCAGTAGTCACCAGACGAGGCCCATGTCGATCCTCATGTGTTAACGTTGAAGATAAGGTAGGTGTAAAATCAGCAGTGTTCATAACTTTTTTCGGTTGCTCTCACTGGTTTTTCAGGTCATGACTCCATCGGGCTCCGTAGACATTAAAATACACGTTGATGGATCTCTTACGCCAACTTTTGGTATGATTACGAGGTAAGTGTAGGATTAGTTTCTGCTTTTATTTTGAAAACAATGGAATCCTTTGCGTTGGGGCCGATCATTGCGGGCCTAGCTGAAGGCTGACAGACTAGCAGTAAAGCTAGGGCTTCATCAAGCCCATTATAGAATCTGCCATAAATTTTCAAAAAAACTACCAGGGAGAGTTTTAACTTATTCATGGGTATTCAATTGAGACCAGTAACGGTATATATTAGAATTCGGACGCCTCTAACAAATGTGAAAGCTAAAAACTGCAAAATGAATCAGCCAAGCAAGTTGTGACCTGTCAAAGTTGGCTGCACGCGAGCATTGATGGATGAGGCTATCTACTATCCATGGAACACTGGCAATACCAGTGTTCCATGGATTGGTGGTGAGGCTCTTGCTCATCACTCGGTAATTATTGGGTCGATTCCCGTTGGTGCGCCACATTTTGCAAATCATGTTGTGTTTAATTTTTGACGTGCAGACCGAGTGTTTGACGCGACAGGTGAGGCTTTTGTACCATTATTGAGTGACATTGTTGTGGTAAACACGGAAGTTAGCTTTTGTTCTTCTAAACCAACGTGCTAAGCACCATCTTCAATATACGCAGTAAGCGTAAATGGTGGCTATAGTCAGGTGCTCGTTCAAATAAATGTCAAGAGATAGAATGGATGCCTTAATTAGACACGAAACGTGATTTGCAAAAAGTTGCACATCGACTGTAATTGAATCCATGATCTATCAAGTGATGAGCGAGAGCCCCACCTCTACTTCACGGCAGCCCGACTTTTCCAACAATCAGAAAATCTCATCTATCAGTGCTCATGTGCAGGCCAACTTTTACTAGTCACTTTCTTGGTAGATTCATGTTGCAGTTTTAGCTTCCATATTTGTAACCGGCATTTGCTGCTTTAACGATATATCTAGACGCCGATTCGATGTCCCATTGGAAGTTCAATGCCTTCCCTGGTTAGTGTGTCAAAGGGCAGAAACACCAGCCTGTGATTGTTAAGCTTATCTTACAAAGCAGATCATTTCAGTCCGCTCACTGTCGCTAAATGACAAAATTGGATTATGAAAAGTCCTTAGAAGAGGGATATGGTGTAAACTCCACAAAAACTCAAGGAATGCAATGGGGCGGCTAGAGTAGTTTAAATTGACGCACCGCTCTACATGCACACATTTGTCACCTAGCTGACGGTTTTCGAAAAGTCACGTGCGTTCTGTAAATATTTCCTCGGCTACTGAAGTTCATGAAATTCTTCATGCTGCATGCACTTTTGTTACATTGATGCGTCAAATTTGTCTCACAGAACCATTTTTTAGGTCACGTGATCGCAGCGCTACTACATTGGTGGTCGACGTGCGCACACCCCCTCAACGATCGGCCGAGAAACGCACTTCTCAGTATCGCTCTCTTAACGACGGCTCTGCCCGCATTCCGTCGACTCCATTGAGTGGAAGTCGTAAGAGACCTCATCGTGAAATTGAAAGAGGCGCCAGTGGTATTACACCAGTTGTGCATCGACTCAGCCTGGACACACCTTGTCGGTCAACGAGCGATATCAATGAGCCATGTTCCATGACATTTCCTAGAGTTCGAAGTGCGCCAACTACACCATCCAAGGTGGATTTTGTTTGAGTATATTAGAACATTATAGTCAATTGAGTGTTCCTGAATATTACCACGGTTATTTCAGCTGACCAGTGGTGTAAGTCGAATGGGGAGCAAATGGTCATTGTCGAAGCTGGACACAAAAGCATCGCTGAGAGATAACGCTGTGGCTAGCTTAGAATTAGGAGAGCCGCCATCGAAGATGCGACGAATTTACGGATTCATGCGCCGTTTAGTTGGCTTTGGCCTCGGGAATGGGCAGTAATTGGTAAGTTCTGGATTTTTTGTCTCTGGTAGTACGCCTACAGGATGTCGACGTACAGTTTTTTTCAGTATTTATTTACATTTAAAATTGTTGTGACTTTTTTGTCAGAATTTCAGGAGTCGCGTCGTCCTGGTGATCTAAGATATTCTGTTTGGCGTTATGGCTAGGCCGAACTTTGCTTGTTTAATAGCAACACTTTTTAATATTTCACTTAATGCTTTGCAAGGACACGGGATCAGAGGTCTGACTCAGCGATGAGGCTCAGATCTCTCATCGATTTCCGCTTTGAAACCGTTACGGTATCCTTTCATAATGAGGTTATTTTTCATTTCTTCTAATAGATCACTTTCTAATATAATGTGTCTTTCGAAGTCTCGCTCTGTTTGTTCAATCTATTATATATTTATAATTGTTTGTAACAAGTATTCTGTGAATGTCATCTCTGAGCTATGCTCACGACTAGGAACGGATAATTAGTCTGCAGTTTTCTACACAAAATTAATTATTCTGCAGAAATTTCAAGTGAACGTGTATCCAGTCTTACATTCGCTCATTTGTTGCTTTCTTTGATTTTTGTTTTCTTTTTGACTAATTATTGAAGATTAAGTTCTCTAAAAGAGCTGATTTTCCAGAGTCTTTGAATTATAAATTCATGACATTTGCTTGTTTTGGATTTTTTTCGGGAACCATGTTCCTTTGTTTTGTATATGACATGTGAGCTAATGAATAAAATGCATATTCACTTCAGTTCTAAGTAATTTGACAGTCGCCATTAGAGCAATGGTAAGAATACTATTGAATTCTTTTTCGAATTCATCTTTTGTTATTTCATTGCAGTTTCTAGAGGTGCTTTTAGCAGGTGGTCGCTTCCGCGGATGTCACAGGCGTCTAGCGTCGACTCAGAGCCGGTGGACGAGTCTTTTGTGTTAGTTTTCCATTTGTTATGTGCATGAAGCATCTAAAGGGACTCAATGTACATTCACCAAAAATGAGCTGCAGTAGTGTGTTCTACCGTCAGGCCAAGGTTGTAGTTGCGTTTACATTTTCAAGATCTCAGTAAGAAATTATGGATTTCACTAATTCCAGATTTTATGCTGGGAACTGCGTTGATCGCTGATCTTGTACTTCTTGTTTAAATAAACTAGAGTCGTCGAAAAAGACGACTTGTTAGCAGAAGCAAAATTGAGTATTTGAAGGAGTTTCAGAATTAAACCAATAATTAAACCACTTTCTGCTTACTTGTAGGGCCAGCTATTGACTTCAAATATCGCTGCCGCCGAATGCTTATGGAATTCCCATGGGCACAGTGGGATGATGTCTTGGACAATTTTGGCTCTTGTTTCTGAATTAACAGTTCGACATCTATCAAACTTCGATCAGTCAGTATTGAAGGTGGTGGGTGCGGGGAAGTGAAGCTTTTTGGGGCATGCGTCGCTCATAAAAGAAAATCATTAAGGTCTCTAAAACCACCCAGGCAAAAAGAAACACACAAGCCAAAAACTGTATAATTTGCTGAACCTTTCAGCATAACAGCATTCAACGGAGCAAAACATGTCAGGAACTACAGATAGCTCTCTTTTGATATCCAGCGGCTTCAGTTTCACGCTTTCTTCTTCGATTTGTTCTGGTTTTCTATGTTTGTAATTCTGCCCCCAGGCTTAGTCGTAGGGGATGGGAAATCGGTACACACCCACCAGTGGATCTTCTGTTCCTCCTCAATTTCCTTTCTCTAAATTTTCCTTGCACATTCCTTGCACAACCAACATATGGTGTGGGAGTGAACTTGCTTCTAATTCTTGACTTTAGAGGGCTTCCAAATTTGGCGCTGAGCAATTCAGCCGAACTGCTGCGCTGTAACGTCCCACCTTGCGATAGCACCAGCAGTGAAAGCTCAAGAAGTAGCTACTTGTGAGCAATTTCGTTGCACCAAAAGCTGAGGGTACCTTACCTTATGCATGCATTTTTGAATCTGTTGAAGAAGTCTATTGAATTCAACTAGCTGTCTGCTGAATTGCTTAGCAGATGTGCTGGTAGAATGGCTTCCTGGAAAGTGAAAATGCGGCTGGGCATCGTATTTGTGCTGAAACGTTGATGGGGGCGTTGCTGCTTCAGAGGTGTAGCTCACAAGGAAAGAAAACGACGTTTTCGCGTTTCGCAGCGCGAAACATCTTTCGTAATGGGAGTCCCAGGTCCATGCCTGATCCGTGCTAGACCTGGTGTTCCCGCTGCAAGACGCGAAAATGTCGCTTTCTGTCCTAGTAAACCACACCCCTGCTTCAGGAACTGTGCTCACGGAACGAATAATTCTAACAACTTCGGATTGAGAATGTTCTGTCATTTTCTCAAGATCACGGGCTAAAATTGCAGTCGACTCTAAAGTGTATTGGAAACAGTGGCTGGATACCGGTGTGTTCATCTGAGTGCTCGTTAAAGGGAGTTGAAGAACAAATTTATGAGGAATACTGTGGATGACATTAATTCTAGAACAGGCCAAATAGAAGCGATCAGGAAGGCAGCTTTCAACGTGAAGTCTATTGCGCCATTTTACCTGGCAGTAAAGCGGTGCCAGAAAATTAATTTATTTGGTTGGATATTTAAGAATAGCATTTTGAATTTGTATACTATCCACGATCTCATTGTCACACGCCAGGCATTCATACTTCGTGATCGCATATGACAAGGCGAATAGGCATGTAGGCTATAAGGAAAAGGATGCGTGTCGATATGGCGAGTAGATGATTGCTCAGCGGGCCCAACAACAATTTAATACATGTCTTTTTCCTCTCATCTACTCGCCCAACACATCGATATGCATATTGTACTTATTTAGTCACGCCTACGCTCAATCGTATATGCGGTCACGAAACATGAACACTCCCTCATTTGCATATATGTAAGTGAGCAGGCTGCTTAAAAGCATGCTTCAGGATTATTCGCGCGCACCTGTTCCATACCGTCAAACCCATAGACACGCCTAATCTGACTTCGAGATATAGATAGATATGGAGTATACAAGCGTTGACTATTTCATCCCCAAGCTTCCCTTTAAACATGTCCACGTGTTCAATTACGTGTCTATCTGTAGCAGCGTTTGTGATTATACTTATTTTATCTTGCTTTGATTCGTGTGGTCGTTATGTATCTTATTTTAAGCCATTCTGGAGGTCCTCCTTCTAAAATCGCTGCCTCTGGATGTGTGACACGATTTGACACGGTGGACCTTCATTATGCCTGGGTTATCGAAGATTTTAGTGCTCAAATGGACCTCCACTCCATCGGAGAGCATCTGACGAGCAAGTGAATCGATTCGTTCTTTTTCTTGCTAGATTGATTCCTTTACTGCTATGTTGAACAGGAATTTTGGCGACAATGATCATGAATTCGTCCTGAAGCTGTTTCCTGCTGGAAAGGACGAGGATTGCACAGGATACATCTCTTTATACCTGCAAATTATACGTTAGTTAACTATCTAATTCTTCATTCTTCTGGCAAGTTGTTGGAATTTTGGACTTTCTACATGAGCTAGCTCAAACTTTGTCGACCCCTTTGACTCTACTGTCCACAATTGACAAGTGTTGCAGTGAGCAACTTTGTTGCGGTACTTCGATTAGATGTGATCTGGGCGTCAGTTCTTCTTGTGTTTTGTATGTTAAGTGTTTATTTTGAGACGGGAATAGGTCGCAAAAGGTTGTTCTTATTAGTGCATCGCGTAGTCTTTGTTGGTGGTATTTGAATTGAATGGCTTCTGCAGACTGAATCTCATTGAAAGAAACAAATTGGCAGGGTGCGACGCGTTCGCGATACTAGAGTTTGGGATTGAGGTCATCCGTCATCACCTTGCAGGCGTTTTTCGAATGTGCTGAAGCCCTTACTAGTCTGCTCGCGCAAGGTATTTTGTTATGGTGAATTGCGTTTCTCAAATGATTTTGTTCCAGGATGTCCGAATCCCAAGATACAGTTGCGGATTCGATTCAGCGTTGAAACACCTGAAGGACCGAGAGAATGCTCCCTCAATAAGAGCGTGCTTTCGATCAATCGTGGTGGAATAATCACTGCCAGTAAATTCTTTCATTCGGACATTGTCAAGGTAATTTCTACTTAAGCATACAATAGAATAGAAAGGAAAAAAATATAGATCCTATAGAACAAAACGCGAGAATTGCAGAATAGATTTCTCCGTCGTGGCTTGAGAGATGCTCTCACTGTGAGCGCAGATATTACGGTTTTTCTGGATTCTAAGACAACCGCGGTAAGCATTACGTCACGTGTTTTTTATTCTGTTTGTGTTGAATTTGACCAAGTTGAGATACTACGTTGCGTGCCACGAGATGTGTACGAGGTATCTCGTCCATCAGTCTCATCAATCCACTTTTTAAGGCCCTAGCGCCTTTGTCGCGCGGTATTCGGCTGCGAAATCACTCCTGTAATATTCGGCGCTCCTTGTGATACTCGTGGGCATCTCGCTTACTCACTGGATAGATTGTTACACACGCCAGCACCGTTGAGGCTCGGCCCAATGCAGAACGCCCCAATGTGCCAGAAAAAGGGTCCCGTTTCTTGGGTTTTGAGCCGTTTTTGTTGGTATTTTTCCACCTCTGCATCAGTGACCGCCTCCAGCTTCAGCTCTGTGGGGCTGCCTTTCTATCGTGAAGACCGAAGAACTTTCTGCTTTGGGGAAGCTTCCGCGAGGCCGATCACTCTACTGAACTAAGCATGGCTTCCATCCATCCGCGGTTTCTGAATTGCAGCCGTCGTGGCTAAGGTTGAAGGTTGACCGAAAATCGCATAGCGATACCTGGGACGATTGCGAATGATTCTTTAAGCTAAGTGAGCATTCATTTTTCCCACCGAACAGAGCATAAATGCGACTTCCGAATGAATCACAGCGGCGTTCACCGTATATTTTAGGAGGTGCCGTTTCGAGACTTCGATGAGGAAGAATTAATGATGGCGAATTGCTACGATCTTCCAGTCTCCGATTGTAGTGCTACGGGTTCTAGCTCTGGTAATTCATTGGACATTTTTCGCTGTAATCAGGCTCTTTCATTAGCTGATGGTTCGAGCGTCGATGTTACTTATGCCACAATACCTTCACTCCAGTCTCTTATGTGCTAACTGATTGACGTTACAGAGGTGTTACGTGAAATGCTGAATACTGGACGTTTTGCCGACTTCATAATTGACGTCGACGGACGCCAGTTTCATCTGCATCGATGTGTATTGGCAGCCACCTCTCAGTATTTTAGCGCTATGCTCAAAGATCAAACGCTGGAAACATCTAATGGACGAGTGAGTCGTACTTCTTATATTCTCATTGAGCGATCTAAACAGTCATTGTTTCAGGTAGATTTGAAGGATATTAGCGGTGATGTGTTCGCAATCATCGTTGACTTCATTTACGAGGTTAAAAAGCCGCAAAGTGATGAGATCACAATGGAACTAATCAAAGCGGTAGACATGTACGTGAATTTATAGTTCGTTTGTTTAAAGACAAGTTGGAATTTTGTACTTAACCTCGATAGCAATTTGGATCAGGCAACTATCCTTATGGTAAATTCCAAATTCTTTCTTCGCTGAACCTCGGCATTATCTTGGATCGTTGTTCATTTTGACGTGTTTCTTGTGCCGTAGACGAAAACCTTGATTCAACGACCCGTTCGAACAAAATCGTCTCCTTCAAAGACCGAAATGTGAGCCAAGGTTCGATAAATGCCTTGATAAATATCTTCTTCCCTAGCGCTGTCTGGCGTTAGTTAAGTTTGCGCCTTAGAATCTCTACCACAAGAAGCACATCAAAATAAGCAGCGCTTTGTTTTCTCCTCCAGGAATGGTTCATAAATAATTACTCACTTCTGAAATAAGCCTCCTACATTTTCGATGAGCTAGTAAGTATACAAAAATAACAAAAGGTCGCAAAACGGCTGTCACTAGGTGCGCTGGTTGTTGTTGTGGATTGTCGCGCATCCTCTCCTTCCATCAAGACTTCGAACAAGGGAAATACTCCAGGTCCAAATGGCCATTCGAAATGAGACCTACATTTCTAGATGAGTTTCTGGACGCTGATCTTGAATCTGCATTCCAGATTCTGCGTAATTACGCTTAAAACGTATTTATGAAGCGCAAGTGCGGTAGCGGTCTTGGCTCATGGGCGAGAGGTCGTGGGATAGGTTCTGTGTATTAAACCAATAAGCCAAAAGGTCGAAAAGAGTTTCATTGACAGCACTCATGAACCAATGGAAGCGTTACCGTCGCCATTTGATTTTGGCGAATGGAGACAAATCGACAAGATGTGCGGAATCTGAACGCGTAGCAGATCTTCCGGTTTTTCGTTTTTGTTTTTTTTACCATAGCACAATTTTCTGCTCTTTCCGCTCTTATCGTGAACGGTAGATCTCAAGCCAGTGATTTATGAATTAAGGGATCATGGTTTTTCGGAGAAGTATTCCTTTAATGACTAATAGTACCGCTTATGGTTTAATGGTTATTCTATGGTATAGTTACTCGTATATCGATAGTAACGGTTATTCTCTGATATCTTGTGTGGGAGATTGATACACCCAGCTTCAGCACACCTTTCGTACAGTTCACCAAGTACATATTCGTATATTTCAGGCTAATGATGGATGGACTAAAATCCCACTGTTGTGCAGTTCTGATGCGAGATATAACTGTAGAAAATTTTGCCATTCGGCTTCAGATTGCTGACTTTCTAAATGTACGTTTTTTGTTGTATTCCTTAAATACCCACTTTTCTATCTTCTGACGGAGTTTGCAGGATGATCGGCTTTTTAAGCGTCTTGTAGCTTTCCTTGCGACCAACCGCAAAGACGTTTTTGCTCATGAGGTATTCTTGTTGCTTTCTTAGTTTTTTTTTGTTTTCTCTCTTAGTTTTTAAGACTATTTTTTCTGTTTTGAAGCCTACAAGCTGCATAGTTGCAAATAATTTTCTTGCAGGACTGGATTGAATTGCGAAATATTCACCCAAAGATGGTGTGTCGGGTGATGGAAGCCGCATGGACATATGCCGAAAGCCAGTTCCCTTACCTGAAATTTGTCAAGAGACGTCGCTTCTGTCTCTAAATTCTTTCATCTTGATACTGGTACAGTTGTACATATATTATAGAAATAGAAGATTTATATGGCTCCCAAGCCATTTTTCGTTGCGTGCGGTCACGATAATTCAGTATCCACTGTGAATTCCAACTCTCTCTACAAGCTTATACCTATATCACCTTAATAAACTCGTTTCTCGTTGAGATTCTAACTTGCATGTCTTGCACCCAGAAATCCCACCCACTTGAACTTCTGCCTGAAACCGACTCGTGAAGCCTGAATTCTGAGTACGCGAAAGTTAATGTTGCTGTAGGCGGCACGAACTGCTGCAGCACATGCTCTTTTTGATGTGACAGACCCAAAAAACCTTTGTAAGAGCCCGGAAAATTTGTCCCAAATCTTCTTTTAGTAGTGAATATACTATTTCCTTTTATTATTAACCCTTATCCCTATTATTGAAATTTTCTTTATTGTCAGTTTCGAGTGACAATGCCATTTACAGTACCATTTCTTCCCTTCCTCCATTCGATATTAATTATTATTGTTATCGTGACCGCTATCTCTCAAATCATTCTAGCTATGAGAATTGATCTTGTACTATAAAATCGATAGGAAGTGTTCAATATAACCATATTTCTATCTAAAGGAATTTTTAGCTAAGCGGTTCCTAAAAGTCTTGTATCAATATGGGTAACTATACTATTTACGCGTTTTGCTTTTCTTTTTCCATGTAAATCATGTCTGCATGAAGTGAATAATGAAGAATTTGTTGTGTATGTGTGAAATCAACAAATTTCTGGGAGTTCATCAACTCCTTCACGTTCTTCTTGGTTGCGCCAAGTATTTATCCTTTTTTCAAATTTTCATTGCATTCCTATCTTGACATTTATCGGGTTCTTTGTGTACGCCACGTATTCAACCTCTCATCTTCTGTATCTTTACAATGACTACTCGTAGATCAGGGAGACAAAGCATTTGTTTGAGTAGGTGCTTTTATGGTATTAAGGACGGACTTTACGATGGAAAGACAACCCATTGGAAATTAAGTTAGAGATGGCCAGAAAGAAGAAAAAAAACGAGAAAAATGGCCTAGAACTCGAGAAATGGGGATTGCGTGTCGGTCCGAACCCTTGGGCGGTCCGCCTGTCTCTCTCTATTAGGTGAACTTCCCGTCTGAATGAGTTCTTTTGATTGACAGTTGCGAAAGGAGCAGCACTCCCTGCAGATTATATTACA